ACACCCACACCCTCATTTGTAAGACATGATTTTCCCTTAGTGAAACCATGTTGACTATCCAATAAAATTGTAAACTGGTAAATGACTTTGTAAAGCATCTTTATCAGACTTTCCAAAACTTTTCCCACAACTGATGTAAGAATAATAGGCCTATAATTACTGGGAAAATTTGTATTACCTCCCAAGAAAAGATCAGTGACATTAGCTAACTTCCAATCCTTTGGCACCTGCCAACTATTCAAGGACTTACAAAAAATAGTAGCATATGGCTCACATATCCAATCCTTAACCTCCTTCAAAACCCTTGGGGAAATATTATTTGGCCCATGAGCCTTATTGTTCTTTAAACTTTCCAACTTTTTCTTAACAAACTCAGAATTGATGTGATCATCTTGTTCAATCTTGTTTCCATCTATCAACTGTTCAAGATGAAGAATATTGATTCAATCTTCACTAGTAAAAACTGAAAAAAAAGTAAAATTTAATAACTCAGCCATCTCATAATCATTAGATACGAGCCTTCCTTTATCATCCCTCAAAGGTCCTACCCCCATCCTAACATTTCATTTACCCTTAATGTATTTAAATAAATCCCTACTGTTGATTTTTACATTTTCAGTCATCCTTTTTGATGTCCTAATTCCTGTTTCACCAATTTTCTGATCTTCTATAATCTTTCAAATCTCCCATCATACCATTCTCAATTTAAATTTCTTAAATTTGTGATGCTTTTCTTTAATTTTATCCCTTATACCCTTTGTGAGCCAACCTGGTTTTTTACTTGTAGCCACCATTTTCTTTCTATAAGGAACATGTTTATCTTGAATATTTAAAAGTTTATCTTTAAAAATTTTCCACATTTGATCAGTATCTCCAAATAACTCATAAGCTCAATTTACAATAGATAATTCTTGTTGCATCCTTATAAAATTTTGCTGTTATGAAATTTGTATCCAAAATATCATTATTCCAAATTTACTATCAATTTTCTATAGTAAAATCTTCAGCAATAACAGATTAAGGTAGCATATGCCTTTCACATGGTGATATCTAGGTTTTGGCATTTTCATCAGAAAAAACATCTTCATACTATGCTTTTTGTATAAAAATATATTGAAATAGAAAAGAAATGTCCTATGTAACTGATAACTTCTACAAACGTGACTGAATACTCCTGAGAATGGGTCCAGACTTTGATGGGATGTGAAGAATTAGTCTGAACTAAGAAAAACTCTGAAAATGAATTCAAGGTCAAATTATGGCTCTAATGAGTATCCTTAAGTAGGACATATGCTACAGTGACTCATTAATGGTCATTTAATAAAAATCAAACCTCTTATAAACTTCACCTTAGTACACAGTACAGACACACTAATAATGCACATTTATGCCAATTGTGAAGTCTATAGTGTTAACAGATCTGAAGTTATGAATTAAAAACCACTATCAGAATGTCAACTGTCAGATTTTGAGAAAAACTTGTTTGAAAATTAGGTGCAAAGTTGTCACTTTATGGGTTTTTGTCTAGTTGAAAAAGGTATACCACATCCTGCAAACTGTGAAACTTACACTTTTAATATGTTTCTGGGTGTTAAAAGGTATATGCTACATTAAATGCAGTTCCATGTCATACTAAATTAGGTAAGAGCATAAGTAATTACTTTAAAATAATTTATCAAAAACATCTCTGATCTTTCCAGACTTAGAGAAAACGATGTGGGTCAAACTCAGGAGTATTATCAGGAGTAGCAGCTGAAAGAAAGTGTTATCTATAAAGTCACCATGCTATGCATGAATTTCTTACATATACAATACTTCATTTTACACTGTAACACATTTAAAATCACTCTTAAATGAAAAAAAAAATATACATAAATAATTTAAATAATTATTTCAGGTGTGAAATTTTGTCATTATATAAAACTGAGATTTACAAGTTTTATTACCTCAGCAGAAATAGTGCTACTCTTGTAACTGTCAAACTCTGGCAGAACTGATGGTTTAAAATGGTCAAATAGCTGTACTGCTCTTTCCCATGTTAGTATAATCTGAATGCAAGGGAAAACAAAACAAAAAGCACAAGACTTCTTAGATAAACAGATTTCTGAAAATTAAGCTAGACAATTATAACCTCCTTAATCTTTTAACAGGAAAGGTTTCTCTAAAACTGCTACACATTTTCCTGTGTGTACAAAAAAGTGGACTGTTACTCATTTAACCTTATCATAGTCGGTGAGCACATTTCAGTTGTCAAGTGCAAACCTAAATATCAAATTTTAAGTAAAAATAAGAATTCTAACTAATAATTTTTAACTCAGAAATATTTTAGAACTAACATGTTGTCCTTTTGTAACATTATTTTAGTGTAATTCACTAAAATAAATAACAGTTCAAACTTATGTTTCTGCACAGCATCGAGAAATCTTGCGTATAAAAATACATTTACCAAATGTTGTAGAATTTCTCTGCCCATCCCAAAGCATAGGTTTATATTTGCTAAGAAACTATCATATCTTGAGATTATAATTATCCATGTTTTGTGCCTCACGTGATTTTCTTCCCTTTCACTAATTATAGTAGTACCTCTTTTTTGTTCCTTCCCTTTTATGATCTCATAGCATATGATCTGAACTAGTAATGCAGCTCATCTTTGAAAATAGCTACATGAACTATTTAAGTAAATGCAGAGTGAATAATGTGGTGAGAGAAGTAATTTATAGTTGCTAGTTTGCACTGAAGAGTAACCGAGTGTAGTGGGGCATTTAGGAACAAATCAAGTTTCTGGAGATTTTTTTTATCATTCATTCATTCAGATGATCATTTTCATTCTTCAAAATGTTTACATGCTAAAAGTTACTGAAATTTTTGTTTATGACAAGGCATCAGGTACACTTAGCTAGGTTTAGTGAATATGGTAGGTAATATCAAAATATTCTGATGACTTATTTACTATAAATTACTTTTAAGTTTAACGTATTCAAGCAATTCACATAACTAAAATAACTTATTTTTCAATGAAAAGAAACCACATTTATTACATACTTATTGATCTATACCAAGAAAATAATTTACAAAAATAGCTATCTAGCTTGACCTGACACTATCTAAAAGGTCAGGTCCTAGGTCAATGATAAATTTTTGTGACTTTATGCTGTGATTTTTATTATATATAGCTGAAATGGTGAGAAAATAAAGTATAAAAAGAAATATGTTAATGGAAATCAATAATGTTGAAACTCATTGAATATATAAAATGAAAGGAAGTATTTCTAATGTTTTCAAAAAAGTATCTCCCAAAAAAATATACCGCAATATGAATAATGACATGAAAACTAAATCATATAAAATTGTTTTTTAAAGAGAAAAATAGATCCTATTTAGTAAGTCTATTCTACATTTCATTTAATTTGGTTAAGTATTTCCACTATGAGAAGAAAAAATTCAATGAATAATAATGACATCCCCTTTGATCATGAAAGGGTTATTAGTCACCTTTATGACAATTTTTTCAAACTCAATTGGTATAAGTTTAAAAAAAAGCAAAATCTTTGTTGTTTTGAAATAACATAACAGGTGAAATAGATTTTCATTGAAATTTTGAATCAGTAGAAGTGTATATGTAAAAACACAACAGCTTTGTTATTTAAATTTTTTTTCTTTTAAAAAACCAATGAAATCTAGCTTCAATGAGAAAAATAAGTTTTGTATTAGAAAGGAATTCAAGTTGATTTAAATGAACTTTTACTTATATCAAACTAGTTTTAGACGAAAGATTAATCTATATGAATCAAATCCTACAGATATTAAATAATTGTATTTTTTAACATTTTTATAAGAGTAACATAAAACATTTACTACAAAAATATTTATTATTAGTTCAACCTTTCTGAGGCTAATTCATAGAATTTTTTCACATTATACTAAGAAATTAGGATTACATGATAAAAAAATACTTGACAAGTTAGTGCCATTTGTCAATTCATTTAACAAACAACTTACAAAATGTTATTCTGCATTATTCAAAATACACATCGAAGAGTTTAATTTTTTTTATTATTTTGAAAAGGATTGTTTTATATAAAAATATTTTAATATAACAATAACCCGCACCATTAAACCTAGGTATATTAATTTATCTTTACTTTTTCTATTGATACTACTATTTGTTTTTGTTTTTTTCACTATGTATTACAAAACACATTAATTTTCCCTAAAAGAATAATCAAAAGATTCTGTCTGACAGCGAATGAAACTTATTTGCTCTCAGAGCAGACAGAGTGAGGTACCTGAGGAGCATTGTGTTCCTGTAGATGTTTGGCCTTGGTTCGTTTACTTGGATGTGCATACAAACAATAAAAACACTGTTCAACAGCCATCTCTAAATCTTCTTTGTGAGGGTGGGGTGATGGGGATTTCTTCAATTCTTCTAGAGCAACATCAACACACAATAGCAGTAGTGCTCCATCAGAGGCACAACACCATGATCGACTTTAAGTTGCCAGAAAAAAGAAAAGAATAAGAAAGCAGCCTACTAACTATTTTGTTATTAAAAACCTATTCTTTAAAAACAACCCAAACAGTAGCTTAGGCAATTTTCTTGTTTTCAAATTTGTAACAATTTCACTTACATAGTGCTACTTAAAATTTTGTAAAAATAAGTCAATGGGTAGATTCTATAAATATATAAACAATGTGCAATGTCGAATTTGGTAATAATTCAGACATATGCATGAAGAATAACATACTGGCTGATGCTTCTAATTTTATTGTAATATTAATAACTATCTATATTTGTGCAACAAGGTCTGGAAAGTATCAATGAACAATTAGAAATGTAATATTAATTACTTTATCCATTTTACTTTAATTTTTGCTGGTAAAAAAGAAGATAGAAGATTAAGTATATTTGATAAGTTTTTATCTTTGTACCATTCATATGATACAAACATGTAAACTATCTTTAATTCAATTAACTGTTTGAAAAATATTGTTTCAGTAGTTTATATAAACTCTTTCTACCAATATATTGGAAAAATTAATAACATTTAATAACTTGGTTGATGAAGTTTGGACCTATGCTACTCTCTGGATAGCTATTTAAATGTTTCTTTGGTCATTACATTCACTGGTAGAGTTCACAAACCATCTTACTTTTTTACACTGGTTTCTTTTAATTAAATGTTTATGTTTAACCCTATAAGAAAAAAGTTGGTCAATTTGACCAGCCATGGTGCTGTGAAAGAACATATACTATAACTCTGAATTTATCATGTGTATCATTATGAATTTGAAAAGCTTTTAGTAAACTATTTCTGCTAAAGTTTGGCTGTGAATTTCTACAGCCTTTACTGAGTCAGTCTGAGTGAAAGATGATTTTCATGCTAAGAATAAAAATACTTCTTTTCATCTTAAACTTTTTATTTTTATTTTAACCTCTAAAACCTGCTAAATGAATTTCAGAAGTTTTTCATTGGTAAAATTTAATATTTTATCTTTTACATTATTACTCTAACTGTATATTTCAAAAATTATAAAACAGAATGAATAATACCATTTTTTCCTTTGCATTTTTGATCAGAAACTTCAAGTTACTTATTTTTACACTTTCAACTGTTAATCCTTTTTGCATCTGTTTTTTTTTAATTTTAGAGTTTTATTGCCATTCTTTGTACCATTAGAACAATAATCAATGAGTAGAAAACAACAAATGATAGTGAGAGCCGATTAGCTGTTTCCCATAACAGCACTCAAGCTAGTGTAATTTTAAATGTTTTATTTTACTGAAGTTTTGTTAGACTAAGCTGAGAAGTTTATAATTTTATATTTTAACTATTTTCGTTAAAAACATATAAAAATATGTAAAAACATTTAATTTAAAAACAAGGATTTCTGGTACTTGGTTTGCACTCAAGTAAAAATATTTGAAATTCTTCCCTAAGCCTGGTTGAGTCTCACAAATTTGGGTATCAAATAAAATAAAAATAAATAAATACATTCATGCAGCTTACAAATATGCATTTTAGAACATAAAAATATATTGGGCATAGAATGTTCCAAACTACTATTATTTATCTGGCTTTGTAAGTAGGCTATAAATATGTTTAAAAATTCTATTAGCCATTCAGGGCAGTAAACCATGATCACATGACATTTATCTCAAATGAATACTCTCCTGCTTAATACAAAATGATTGTTGTACACCTGATATACAAGTGAATCTGCTCTTTCTCTTGGTTGTCAACATGTCATGACCCATGTAAAGTTGATTACCAAACAATCTTGAAAGTCAGAGGGACGGAGAGGGGAGGGGCTCCTTTGATGGGTTTGACAAATTTCTTTGATATCTCAACAAATAAAGAATATAGGAGGTTCAAATGTTAGATTCCTGCTTATAACTATGTATAATTAGTTGGAAACTACAGCATCATATTTTAGAGGTTAAAAAATTCTGAAGTGAAAAAATAGTAACTCAGACATGCATCACATGACACAGAAAATTAAGTTTGAGATTTTTAAAATATTTCTTTTTGAAATTAAGAAGTTAAAGCTTTAACAATATAAAATTGAGTTATAAACTATATGTTTATTGACATACATTGATAATACAGTAATTACATTTTGAATGTAACTATGTAAAAGATCATGACATGCACTTTGATGGCATGGCCATACAGAAATAGTTAATGTAAAAAATGATTCACTAAGATAAATTTCTGTTACAGTCCCTTTACTTTTCAAATTTTTTTTATGTGCTTATTCTATTTGATGCAAAAAAAGTTTATGTTGCAAGGAAACGTGTTATGATGTGGAATCTAAAAAAATATAATAATTCTTTGCTCTTATAAAAAATTATGAATTTGTATATTTAATGAGTGAAACCTGTCATTATAAATGGATTTTTTTTTTCACAAGCAGACTAAAATTGGAGAATTATACTTCTAAATGTCTCAATAATTATTGCCTTAACTCAATTTCTCAGATTATAATAACATTATTAACTTTTCCATTGCTAATAAATTTCCATACACAATGATAACAAATTTTAAAACATTATCATTTCATACTATTAATATTTTGGCAAAAACTTATCCTAACTTACTTTCCTAGACATTCATGGGCTGTTAGGAGGAACATAAGGGAGGAAGAAATACCGTGTGGCATCTCTGATTCCTTTGGAAAAACACTTGAAATCTGGTTTTTATCAAGAATATTTGTTTCACTGTGTTCTTTCTGATTATCCTCAACTGCTTGATTTGTTACTGATTTGATGTCCCTTTGAGCATGTAACGTTATGTTTTCCTTCTGCTGTTCAATTACTTGCTCTTGGGTTGATTCATGAATATTATTATGACAGAAAGCCAATACTTCAGTTGATTTTGAGTCATAATTTTGGTTATCAATTAATAACTGAGTGGAAGAAACTGTGTCATTCTTTTGATTTTCAATTATAATTGGGTTGTTTGAAAGGAAATTATCAACTCCTGATTTACATCTTGAATTTTGGGCATTTTTAAGACTGTCAATAACACCTTGCTCAGAGGACTGCATCTCCTCCTTCCTCTCACTGGTAACTGATTTGCTGATTGGTTCCAACTTTATGACGCTATCCAATGATTGATCTGTTGAGTGCATATCAAGATTCTGGCTATCAATAAGAGACAGATTAGCTGATCCAGTTTCAAGATTCTGATCTACATCCATATGTTGAATATGTGATTCAATTACAGATTTCTGGCTCTCAATTACTGGCTGATTAGTCACTATTAGATCACTGTCTTGGTTGTCAAGTTTCTTTTTACTAGTTTCATCTTCCTGACCAAAAACTTCTGGCTGGTTAATGGTACACTTTTTATCAATTTCCTCTTGAGTTTTGCATTCCTCACTGAAATTTGAATTTTTTACATTTATTTCATGTTCAATTAACATGGCACAAAAGTAAGAAAGACACACACAATTACATCAAAAGGCAAAATTCTGCTTTATGTATTAACACAAATACTATGTATACAAATGTTTTTCACTTTAGAAAATGCACTGAAAATTCAAAATAATGAAATAAACAGAGTAACAAATAACAAAATTTACTTTAAATGATACAATGGAAAACATTTTAATTAGCGTTTCGTGGTACTCAATAATAAGAAAATGACTATTGTAATAAACTGATTTTCTGTTTGTTTTAGGAGTGTATATCTTATCCTAACAAGTGCAAAGGTTGCCACTTTAAATATACAACTTTATTTTCTATTGTGACCATTTGTAAATGAAGTACAATATTTCAGAAACACAATAACTACAACTATTTTCAAAGTTTCATGAACATAGGTCAATTTATTTTAAGTTATAAGAAGTTTCCATTTCAAATGTTTACTCTTAAGAGATCACATGATGAGTCATACCAAAACTCTATAGAAAAAACTGTCTCTATATCAAAGTACTTTATAATACAATGATGGAGTTTAAACATTTTAGGCTATAAAAAGAAGCAACTTTATTAATTTTTTAACTGTATAGATCTCAGATTTGTTTCTTCTGACATTACTACGACAAATGTTGTTTTTTTTTCTTTACTGTTAACAGTTTGATTAAAATTAGGTATAATCAATCAGAGTTCAACCTTATCTGAAATAAAGTCCAGTACTGCCACATGTTGACTAGTGGTTAGATTAAATGTCACATATCTGACAAAAAAGTACTCCAATCTTTAGCATCTTAAAATGCTTCATTGGAACCGATGATAAGTTACTTTCACACCTTTCAGTTTAACAGTACAAAACAAGAAACATTTTAGGGGCCTTCTCAAGACTCCTCTTACATTTCAAAATCTAAACTACACTACAGTAGTGAACTGAAAAAAAAAAGAAAGTTACAACACACATAACAGTCTTGCCTGATGAATGTCACTGTTCCAAATGGTGTGCAACACAAAATGGTTACTAATATTTTTAATAGTTGGTATACAAAAAAGTTTGTGAATACTCACTTTTCTATCAGTCGGTACAGAAGAACCCAAGGAAGGATTGTCTGGATGCTGGTTTCAGTGTAATAATCTGATGAATCCATTTGTAAACATATCACCTGGATTAAGTTCTGCGTAAATCGAACTAGCTTGACATCTCCCATTTGGTCCACTAACTTTTTATCTTTACCAATGCACCTGCCAAAATCAAACAAAAAACAATTACAAGGAAATATTTAATATCATACATATATAAGTTTCTAACTATAAATTGGTTTGAGTTTAATATAAAGTTTGAAAAGCAAATGTTCCATTATTTTTAATTTCTTAAAATCAATTTCAGTGTGTGTGCAAAGATAGTTTATACTTTTCTCTTCACAATATTTTTTAAGCCTAAAATCTTTTAACATGCACTAATACAAATATAACTGTATACTGAATCCATAACTTTTTGTTGGTCTAAGATTACCATAATAAAAAGAAAAAAAAACACCTCAATTAGAAACATAAGTAAAACTCTCTGCAGCCACCTGTACCATATCTACATCAACTTGTAACATTTGATTCCCTAGATGCAAATGAAACCTTTTCCAGAGATCAACCCTGCTGTGCACATACCAATATATCATACCATCTAATGACAAACTCTCATCAATATTTTTTCTGCCATACTGATAATTTATTTTTTATTTTGATCTGCTCTTTAGCCTTTTTTTATATTACTACCTAAGTTTTTACTCTTTTTTTTATATATTTTTAGCCAAAATGTATATATATCCTCTCTAGAACACTGTCATGTGACTTTGGAATTTTGTACTACCTAGATAAAAAGGTACTCGCTTTTGCAAAATGTTTACCAGTTTCAAGTAATAGGTAATCGTAACTTTCTCATGTGGATCAAAATATTTTGTTAATAATCATATGTGAATGAACTTTTGAGATTTAAATGATAAAGCGTCATCTATGATTATCTTAATTATTTTCCCACAAAATGCTATTTTTCATCTCAAATAGAGACATATAACATAAAAGACTCTGTTATTGCCACCTTCTATAGTAATATGATACATTTATTTTAGCTTTTGATGTTTCATTCATACCTTATGATTTACTTTTTTACTGTCATAAGCAGATTTGATATAACTCAATATTTTTCTGCTTCTTGTTGTTATTTGTTTATTTTTGCAATAGATTTAACCCCACTAATTCAAAGCAAATGATAAAGACTGAGTTTGTTCTTTTGTCATTCAACTCAAATGCACGATTTTTATCATCATCAGATCAATTATTTGAAGTTCATGGTATATTTGTTTAGTGAAGTACTATGTAAAAAAGATATTGGATGTAACACTGTTTTAATGGTGAGTTTGAATGTTTGATATAAATTCTACAATATCAAACATTCAGGAAGGATGTTTTTCATTGCTACATTTACAGCAAAAAACTCTCTCTGTGCAAGGTTTATTTTTAGATACATAAAAAAAATCAAAAGACTTGTGTTTTAATATTTCTGATCTTATCTGAAACTTGAAATTAGTAAACCTTGATAAGTTTGAAGGGGAAAAACCCTTTCTTTGTGGTAATGCAAAATTCCAAACTTGCATGGCAGTGTTCTAGAGGGCGACATGTATGAAGTTCTCAAAGCAATTAGCTACTCACAAATAACTTGAAAATAGTTTTATTTTTTTACTTAGCGTAAACCTGGTTGATTTGAATTTAAAACTGCAGTGGGAAATTAAGTAATAATTATAAAACAAACTCAAAAAGATATAAATTGTTTATTTGTAAATTAAAAAAAAACGTTCTAGAAGTTAAATCATCTAAATAGGCTTAGAAATGTGACATTGCAGAAAATATCTTTAACTTTTATGTTCCTTTTTGTTCATGCTTATACATATAAGCTAAATTTTCAAAAGGTTCAGAACTGACCACACATTCACAGATAAGTTGGTCCAAATGTGACTAGAGTATTGGCTAAGGTAGTTATAAAACTAGTATGTGTAAAATAAAATATCAACTAGCTAATAATGCAGCAACAGTAAAGTTCAAGTTCCAGATGTTTTGCTTAAAAGTAAATTTTCTTCCTTCAAACAAAATAAGACATAAATTTATTTTATGGTTACAAACACTATTTATTAGTTTATATATTATTTTCAGATGATATGATATTTTTAATGATTTAAAAAATAAATTTCTCACTTTTCCAAGCCTTGTAGAAGGTTGGCCATTGTATTGGCCCAATCACTCCTATCTGATGTGGTACTGGCATTCATGTACTGATGGAGAGCCTCATTGAATGCTACTTCACCCCACTTCAAACACACCTAGTGCAATAAGAAAACATTACATTTATGCATTATTGTATTATATTTTAAGGCTATTAAAAATTGAAAAGAAAATAATTTTGGAAAAACACTGGTGATACACAGACAGAAGTAACAAACAATGAAAAATTGTAACTAACTTGTCAATTTATATGAGTACAGAAAATACAAAATAGAGTGAATTGTACAATGCACTAGTGTTTTGAATCAAGAGACACAGTGGTGTGTCATACAGCCAAAATAATCCTCATGATAAACTGTGTGTTATTAACAGTAGTAATAGTTTAACAATTTTCCACTTTCTGTACCTCAAATTATAATACTTAATAATAATACTTTCAATGGAAGTGCTCTAATGTACCCTTACTTAACATAGAAAATTTCAAGGCAATCCATTAAGATACACACAAGATATAAAATCTCCGGTTTTCATTGAATTTCTTCCTATATTTTTTCTTTTCTCCAATTCTACCAAAACCTTATTTAGAAAAAAAAACATATTTAACTTAGATGGATTTTATTCAAATTTG